GTACTTGGGTTGGCAGTGACTGACCTGAAGTTATCCAATGAGCTTCTGTGGTTGAGGATGGGTTTGAACATGGGTTTCCTCAGTGTCAATCCCTTAACCATTATACCACTGTTTTTCAGCAATAGTTGGTTATTTTGGAGAGAGGGTTAGTTATGGTTGGTTAGCAAGGCTTTTTGAGTTCAAGATTAAAACAGGACTGCCTTGATAGAAAAACAGAACAGTGTTGGATAGACAGGAAACATAATAGCTCTGGAACAATCAGGACGCAGAAGAAATTCAGGTTTGCGGTGGAGGAACCCAACTGCAACCTGAAACAAAGTGATCGCTACAACCACTACACATCCTTACCCACACATCTCTTTGGAGTTCACTCATTAAAAGGATTCTCAAGACAGACCACAAAGCAGAAGTGGAAGGAAGAGAAGACTGATGACAGGCCTGCAGCGTCTGCAATCAGTTCCTAGCTCGCTTTCCATCTGCTCCAGGTCCTTTGGGCCAGGAAGCCCATTTGCAGCAAATACAGCAGAGGAGCAAGGATTCACTTAATTTAACAGGCTCTTGGCTATGCACTGCATAGCAGGGGAGGCCAAAGGGGATGTGGTTGCTGGAGCTATTACTGTCAGGGCACGGCACAAACAGCATCTGACAACTGCAACCTCAGTCTTTATGCCCAGCTTAATTTTACCTTAGTCTCTTTTTTACTTCACTAACAGCCTTACATTTTCCACTTGAGTTGCCTGATAACCCAATGCTTTTCGGTTTCCATGGTAACAAGTTGCCTGCAAATCCTTCAACTCAATTTATGCGCTCATTTCAATATATGAAATGATTAATATCAGTGGTGAGGTTGCCTCGGAAGGCCTTTCCTTCAAGCATTATTTACTATTATTATGCTAATTTTTGTGGATCAAAATTGATCAAAGATGAAGTAATCTGAGCTTCTTGCTTCCTGTGGTATTCTGAGGGGCAGCCATTAAATGTAGCAGAGTGCTTATATATGGGAATTTTTATTTCCTTCCTTTGGCAACAGATTTTCCTTGACTAGCCCTAATTCTGCATGTCAGGCTGCTATTCGCAGGGACAGCAATAACCATAAAACCATAAAATTGAGCAATCTTGAGGTTGTGAATTAATGTAATCCATTTAATTATCTTTGAAACAAACAAACAAAAAAAGATATTCACTCCAATTCTGTAAAGGAAAGTTCATTCTAAATAAATACAGAACTGCCAGGACTTATTTTGGAAAGATCCCTATTTGGAATGGTCATTAAAAAAATAATCTATGAACATTTAGCGAATGAGTTCTTATTTGGAAGGATCTGAGAAGAAAGGGGGAATTAAAATGAAAAAAAAAAAACCTTGGAAAACAATAGTAAAAATGGTTCCAGAAGATATCAAAGATTTATTTAATGAGTTCCTTTGAGTCCATGCTGCCTAAGTCTACTAGTCACTACACAATAACCAGAGAGCTTTTTGTATCTCTCCACTACAGACCGAATTTGGCATCCCAGTTTTGGTAACCTTAATACAGCCTTATGTGGAATACAATAATCTGAATAGCAATGGAGATAGTAACTGAATATGCATATGGCTCTTTGAATACAGTTAAAACAAAATACCTATACAGTGGAGGCATAATTTGATCTATGAGTCTTTACAAACTCTACACATACGTTTAATAAGTAAATGAACAAATAAATAAGTAAAACAATTATACAGATGGCTTATAAATGATTCTCAAATGGCATCCATCTTTTCAAACTTCACTTTAGTGCTAGAATATCTTCATCAAAACATTTCACAAAGTTAGCAAATACTCCTCACTCCAGCCCCTTCCCCCCCACAAAAAGGTAGTGTTTTATAGTACAATCCAAGCCATTGTTTAAAGTTGCAAAGAGACCAAACCAATCTAGTTTGCCATGTATCAAAATTGATGGCCATGCCATTGGGGTACCATAATTAAATCATTCTTCTATTCCAGATTGAATGGAATTGATTTCAAAGCGATACAAAGAGTTGAATATGACCTGGATATCTTGCCACTTTCCACATCTTGTTAAAGAGAGATTAATATACATCTTATTACAGAGAAAGATAATGTATTTTATTTTGGCTTAGTTACCGTTCAGTTGGGATAGCTTATTTAGCTTTGGGCACAAGAGCATAAGAAGGTTGTTGACAAGAAATTCTAAGAATAGCTATACAGATGCTAAAAGGGTCAAGAAGACAAATATATGAGAAAAAGTTGAGACAACAAGATATCTTTAGGGCTCCTTGCAGTTCTCAGGGCCTTTTCTCTGGCATTAGGGAATTCCATGGAGATGTGCAACATTTACTCAGCTGACAAATCAATGCAGGCTGCAGAAAGATTTCTGGAGGGCAAGAACTATAAAATTCATTACTTTAGTTTGGGGGAAAAGCCTGGAGGAGAAGCATAAATGAGACAATTGTTCATGTGAGGAAGAATGGAAAAGTTATTCATCCTATCTGCTAAAAGAGCAGGGAAAGAGGCAATAAGATTACCATAAATTTAGGAATGACAGAGGTTTCATGTCAGTGTGGATGAATGTGCAGAATACATACAGTTGTTGATTGGGCCCGAAAGCCTTCCAGAGATCTTTGCTCAAAGAAATGTATCTCTTTCAGCACCAGAGCTTGCTAGTGCTCAAGCATGTATTTTGTCACTGGGTAAATGGGAACTTTAGTTAGCATTTCAGTTGCTATTTCAATTGTTGTGTAAAAGGTGATTGCATAAGGGTCATAGGCTATACCCCCATTACGTCCATCAAAAATCAGAGACTGTTCCACTTGAACAAGGTCACGTCACCTAGCTCCTAATTCTGTACAAAGCAATGCCCTTTCACTTCAACAGTATCTCAACATTTCAACAAACTTTACCCCCTTCCCTAAGAAAAATTGTTCTAACAGCATTGGATCTTTCTAGAATAATTCCCTCACAACATAATGATATATGACAAGTAACCTCTGATAGCCTCATCCATTCAAATGTCAAGTGATATTATCAGGTTAAAAATAAAACCAACAATAAATTCTTCCACAGCACTGCATGATCATACCTAAGGGCCTGATTATACGTAGCTTAAATGAAAGATCAGGACAAGATACGAGAACGCAGCTATGAAGGCCAAATTTTATTTAGAACACTGTCTTTAAATAAAATAAAATTTCTATTTCAGACTATTATAATTTCTGAGGAAACCCAAAATATCTTATATATGTGCTTTGCAGCAAACTGCAGTGACACTATGTGTGTGGTGATGTCATCGCACAAATGTGACTTGAGTCACAATGTCTGATTCAAGTACATAAGTCACAACATTTGTATAATTACATCATGAATGTTTTATTTACATGCTACCCATGGATACTTTTATTCGTACATTTTTAAAATTTGGTAGCCCTAACAATTTCAGGCAGATTGTTTTGTCTCTTTCGAAATTAATTAGTGAATTAGTGAAGAGCCTTGGTGGCGCAGCAGACTAAAGTGCTGTTAAGTAGCACCAGCTGCCTGCAATTACTGCAAGTTCAAATCTCACCAGGCTCAAGGTTGACTCAGCCTTCCATCCTTTCGAGGTAGGTAAAATGAGGATCCGGTTTGTGGGGGCAATAAGCTGACTTTGTATAAAAAAGAACACCGCTTGGGGGGGGGCGAAAGCCCTACTAAGCAGGTATATACAAAAGTATGAAGGCTATTGCTTAATACATTGTAAGCCGCCCTGAGTCTCCAGAGGAGGGCGGCATATAAACCGAACCAATAAATAAATAAATAAATAATATTAAAAATGCTCTTTTGGGCTTCCTTGTTTTCAGGGAACCTTCTCCAGTATGGATTTTAATTGATTGGAAGTCTATCTGTCATAATTTCCACTACAGAACCTAATGTTAGACTGCAATTCCTGAGGCAGATTCCTTGGGAACCTAATCATTATTTTTAAGTAAATATTAGAAGAGCCATAATCTATTGGATCATTGCTCCAGCAGTATTTCCTTATGAGACTCCTCTATGCCTCCAACAATGGCAACAGAGTTTCTAAATATACTTGAAAAGTTCTTAAAAATTCAGGGAAATATTCATGGATTTATCTGCCTTAAAGGTAGACCATGTTGAACCATATAGCACAGTCAAATATCAGTACAGGAAATATTTTATGACATTTCTATTCCGTGGATGTCATAGGTACCAGTTTTTGGGATGTATGCTGTAAATTAATCCATTTGAGGTACTTTGGTTGAAAAGGCTTTGCACCATTTCTCTCAGTCACAGACACAAAAGTTTTATAGAATATGGATGGGAACCTATTCTCAACACAAATCCTATTGAAAGAAATGATAAATACCTTTATTTTAGTGCTCTTGAGCCACAGACTGGGGTGCAAAATCATGGCTAAATTGGTATTTAATATACATCGACTGCCTAGGCCAAAGCAAAGCAGTTAAAGATAGAACTCCCTCTTTTTCTGAGTGGGGAAATATAGTCAACATTAATTTTTGAACATAGGTTACATTTGAACAAAATCTTGTGAAACTTGACTGTTAATTACTTGTCACTTGTAATGATAAGGAATCATTTACATCTTGGATTTGTAAGAAATAAAATTAAAATTAAATGCCTCGCTTCCCAATAATATGTACTACTTTAAAAGGGTTCAAAGTATTTGGGCTAGGAGACTATTCACTGGAATTTTCATAAAGCAATCGGAGAAACAGTTTAAATTTCCCCCCTAGATTTTCAAAACATATAATGTACTTTTAAAAACATAAGAGCCAATGTTCTCCTGGATTAGACCACAAGCCTATTTAATCAGCATTCATTTCTTCAAAGACTATCAGAATCTTCTGAGACATTTGTAAAACATGAGCATCAAATTTTGTTTGAATTCCCTATTGGTTGATATTTAGATTTAGAAAGTATCAGTGATCTTCTTAAATCTGCTCTACATTTTTTCTTTTCCTTTCCCTTTCCCTTTTCCTTTACAGACTCTAAGCAGAATGGCGATGCAGCAAATGCAGCTCTGGCTAATGAAGACTGCCCCACAATTGATCAGGCCCTGTCACCGGAGGAGAAGTCACCTGTCACACCTGGTGGCCGAGAGCGCTATAATCGTGACCGAGCCTGCTTCCTCCTCTCCACAGGTGATTTTGGGCAGTCACCTGATGGAAACATCCGAAAAGGTACGTATACATACATCACCATCATTTCCCCCTGCCTATTTCTGCAAAGCTTGCATTCCATCCTCTAAGCTTATACCCAAGTACGTTATTTTTCACCCTTATCACTAATACCACCATAACCTTTGTCTTAGTAAAACATAAAGCTGCCACTTTTGGGGAATAAAGAAGAGAATTGCAAATATGTAACTGACTTAAGTAAAAGCCTAATCCTGAGATCAAAATGGGTAGACAATGTCCTAGCAACTACCAAGATCTCCATTTGTTCCACTCTTAGCACCTTAATAACAGTATGCATTGTTCAAAGGACAGCAATATCTAGCATTACCTTTCCCAACCTGGTGCTTCCAGATCTGTTGGACCATAATCCAGAATACGCTTTGGCCAAATTGATTGGGAATTCTGAGAGCTGTAGTCCAGTCTATATAGTTCAGTCTTTCCCAGATTGAGAAAACCTGCCACAGTACCTCCTTCCAGAAGACAATCCATGAACACAGCTGATTTTGAGCAGTTGAGATTTTGGGGAGAAGCTGGATTCTCTACCAGCATCACCAGTCCATTCTTTTCAAAACTGTTACATTATGTGCACACTTCCCCAGCTTCATTACCTCACACCCTCCCAAACAAAGTTATGTTTCCCTTATCAGCTTTTGCTTTTTCATCAGTATCCCCCACCACATTTTCTCCCCATATGTATCATTCTGTCTCACAATAATTGGCTGCAGTTGCTCTTCAGGTGTTTCAAGTTGTCCTTTAAGGGAGGTTACAGCAAATGACAACTAGTTATTTTACAGGGGTTTATTGGAAGGACATGGAAGTGACCATAAAGTGTTTGAAGTTATTTCCCATTCTCCAAATTTGTATAGAGAGAAAAAGTAAAGCTTGGGCTTCATTGATTTGCTTCAAATTCCTGAAACATTTTCATCTGAAACATAGAAATAATAAATCTCTAGTCAGAGATCTTATAATGAAAGATTTTCCCTCATTGTAAACCTTGGGCTGGTTTTAGACCAGTGTTTCTCAGCCTTGGCCTCTTTAAAATGGATGGACTTCAGCTCTCAGAATTCCCCAGCCAGACTTAGCCTTAGCTAGCTGAGGAATTCTGGGATTTCAAGTCCATCCGTCTTAAAGTGGGTAAGGTTGAGAAACACTGTTTTAGACTATAAACTTAATTGAAGATCTACTGGCCTAAGTGAAGAACCGCTAGTCTGAGGTTTCCCAAAATGATAATTATCAACCCCCAGCGGCTGAGGGGAACATCCAAGGGGTTGATGTTTTTGTTGCTGGGAAAGACTGGAGGCCAAAGGAGAAGGGGATAGCAGAGGATGAGATGGTTAGATAGTGTAATCCACACAATGAACATGAATTTGGGCAAACTCCAGGAGGCAGTGTGGAGAACAGGGGAACCAGGCGTGCTATGATCCATGGGGCCACAAAGAGTCGGATACAACTGAACAACTGAACAACAACAACAAATATTTATTAAATCACTCCCATATAATAAATGTTTGGGGGGGGTTGTCAGTGAAGAATCTGAAGCTTCATGAAGAGGTTGATAAAGTGGCATTTGGCAACTCTTGTATTAGTCAGCCATAGCTGACTGTTTTGTAAAACAAATTTCCATATACAAGAGAATCACGTTCCTTCCACTCAGCTTGCTTGCAAGTAGTCCTTGACTTACAACTATTTGTTTAATAGATGTTCAGAATTAAAAACACACTGAAAAAAGTGACTTTTCACCAGTTCTCACACTGATGACCATTGCAACATCCAATAGTCACATAATCAAACTTTGGGTTCTTGGTAATCAATATGTATTTACAACGATTGTAGTGTCCCAAGGTCCTGGGACTGTCTGAAACTTTTGCAGGAAGTTTCTGACAAGCAAAGTCAATGGGGTAAACTAGATAATGACTGGATGATTCACTTAACAACCATAGCAAAAAAAGGTTATAAAGTGGGGCACAACACACTTAACAACCGCCTTGCTTAGCAATGGAAATTTTGGGCTTAATTGTGATTGTAAGTCGAGGACTACCTGTGTTCTGCCCTTTCCTATTCAAAAACCCTGCAGACTCCAACTCTCTTGAGTTCACAGGGATAGGTCACAAATTTAGTACTGATATTATTAGATAGGAAATTGCTACCAATACCCATACAATACTTCTTTCTCAGTTGCTCCCTCTCTATTTTCTTCAAAGAGTTCTCCTGTCAAATCCTCTATTGTTTTTTAGACACAGGTGAGTCTCAAGAGAGACGTGTCAGGATATTCCAGACTGTAGGCAAGGAAGCTGCACGCTTAGTGCTTATTCAGGAACTGAATATCATGCTGGGAAAGCAACTTGGACCTTTATGACAAGAAGGCTGAAAACCGAAATCTCACATCTTTTAGGATTAGGGCTACAATATCTGGCTTGCAAAATGCTGGCTAGACATTATATGGTAACAAACTCTAACTCTAGGCTGTCATCTAGGCATCATCCAAAATTTTACAGCTTAGATACAGTCTCTCTGCAGTACAGGTAGTCATCGACTTATGACCACAATCAAGACCACAATTGCTGTTGCTAAGCAGGGTGTTAAGTGAGTCATGCCTGAGTTTGCAACCTTTTTTGCCATGATTGTTAAATGAATGTTGCGGTTGTTAAATCTGGCTTCCTGCATTGACTTTGCTTGTCGAAACTGTCTGGAGTGGTCAAAAATGGCAATCACATGAGCCAGGGACGCTGTAACTATCATTAAATATGTCCCAGTTACCAAGCACTCAAATTTTGATCACATGACTGTGGGGATATTGCAATGGTTGTAAATGCAATTGTAAGTCACTTTTTTTTTTAGTGCTGTTGTAACTTTGAATAGTTGCTAAAGCAATGGACAAAGAAAATGTCTATGGAGATTCTCAGTCATCCAGGTCATGGTTGTCCCAAAGGTTCTTTTTTTTTCAAGAGGCAACTAGACTTTGTTTTTTCTTTGAAGACGTTTCGCTTCTCATCCAAGAAGCTCATCCAGAGCTGAAGAAGCTTCTTGGATGAGAAGCAAAACGTCTTGAAAGAAAAAACAGAAAGTCCAGTTGCCTCTTGAAAAAAAAAGAACCTTTGGAACAATGGACGACGACTACATTTATTCAAGATTGACTTCCAAATCAGTGTTTATTGATCAATCATCAAAAATTTTCATAATCTTTATTAATTTTACTATTCTATTCAAAAATTCCCAGTCTGTGTTGGGTTGGGTTTTTTTTAAATCACTCATGCTAACGGCATGACCAAATAACTGGTTATGAAAATATTAGGTTGCTGCTGTTGTTAACTCTGGATATAGTGATAATTAATGATACATCTGAAATTAATATTGCTAGTAAAGTCATTGGTCATTTTTATGGAACTTTACACCAACTCTTTGCAGTCCTTCATTCTGCATTAGGTGAGACTTGACGGTAATTGTGTTCATCTCTCTGTGTGAAAAAGAATAAGAGACTGTGATCCCTCTAGTCTAGAAGTCATCGTCAGCATGTTTGTGTGCTGTGTAAGTTCTGGTCTAGCATCTGTCAGAAACTGATCTTAGCAGCAGGCAAACTTTCAAACAGAGACAAGGTTGCCCCTGTCACAGCAGGCAAACAGGAGGTGACAGCAAATGAAAGCTTACGATGACTTTAATTCCATTAAGGAAGCAAGAGCTTTCATGGTATTGCACAGTAGAGAAGACCAGCCAGCGATGGGCAAGGAAGAAGCACAGAAGTGGAACAATCATCACAAAGTCCAAATTCTGACAATTGCCTTTCTATTCCAGAGATGCAGACATTTGACCCAGGATTAAGTAGATTACAAAATATTTTCATTGGCCTTATTTCTGTTGGTATAAGGGTAGGCAGACTTTTAAGTTAATCGAGTGGAATGAAGGGAGTCCTCCAGATAAAGGAAGCAGACAGGGTTAATGAAATCAGTTTTCAATGAATGAATCAGTTAAAACAGAAACAAAAGTTCTGAAGGCAGAAAGATGATTCCCTTTGATTTTAGGTGGGATGTGCATATCCAGTACAACTGCACAAGATCCAGAGAGCCTCTTCTTCCTGAAGGAATGTAGTCTGATAGTCAAAACAATATTGATGAGTAAATCCAACCACTGTATTTTATGAGCCCAACATCCAGCTAAAAAGGAGTATTGGAAATACTTTAACATTTAAAACAATAGGATTGCTCTATCTGCCTATCTATATACCGTATTTATTTATCTCTATCTCTCTATCTGTATTGATCACTTTCTATCTATCTATCATCTATCTACTATACTGAACTCTCTTTTTAGCTCTCTATCTACTACAACTATCTTCCTATCTTTATCATTATCTATCGCCCATACTCCTTTTTAGTTGTAAGTTGGATTCATATAATGCACTGGTTGGATGTACTCTTTAATACTGGTTTGTCCATAGCAAATTTGCCACCCAGCTGAAAAAAAAGTCTGGATAAGCATGAAAAATGTGAAGCAGATATTGAAATACCATTCAGTACCCACAGGATAGACCTAAATTCATGACAAAACATCTTTAAGGCCAAAGTCTGTTCAGTATACACTATGGAACAGGTTGCCTGTTTAAATAGATGGGGCACTTTCTAAGCATACATATTGCTAGTGAAGAAGAAACAAAAGGGTGTTTCAATTTATCAGAGAGTTCTTTATGCAGCCATGCTGGTTTCTTTTGAGAACTGTTGTTTTTCTTCTTCATTGGTATTGTGGTAGACTGGGCTTTTATAATCTCACTTTTCAAAATTTCCCAAGCTTCTTGAGTTGTTTTCCACTTGAGGATACTCATCCATGGAATTCTTCCCAAGCTCTAAGTTTATTGAAATTAGCTCTCTTAAAGTCAAAGACTCTAGTTTAACTTTGTTCTATTGCTTGTGTTTACATAATGTTGAATTACAATATTAAATCATCAATTCCCCCCAAAAGTTCCTGTAGCTTCAACAATGTCTATCATTTCATTTCTGTTAATGAGAATTAAG